GTTTGGAATGGATGATGTTGTAGAGTGCACTATGCTATTTAGGAAGGCACTGTGGTTTGGAATGGATGATGTTGTAGAGCGCACTATATCATGAAGGAAGGCACTGCAGCGGTGGTTTGGAATGGATGATGTTGTAGAGCGCACTATGCCATGTAGTAAGGAAATGCAGCGGTGGTTTGGAATGATTTGTGTTGTAGAGTACGCTATACCATGTAGGAAGGCACTGTGGTTTGGAATGGATAGTGTTGTAGAGTACACTATACCTAGGCTCTTTAGCAATAATTTAGCTCATTATAGAGACTTTTAGTTGACTCAAAATGAAGAGTATTCAAAAAACTAAGCCGAAGATTGAAACTTTGTTAATTTTCTTGAAAAGAGCCTGGGTCCAAGTGTGTTCCCATGGCAACACCACCAAACATACATCAAACTGATTGTTTTATTCTGCACTATAACCAACATAAGTTTAAGTCGTTTTGGTCTCAGATATTTTCAATATGATAATTGGACTTTTCACTAGATCGCTGCCATAAGTGACGTCATAATTTTGTAATTTCTGTATATTGAATATCCCAGCAACGAAATGAAAGTAGAGGCCATTCTTATTTATTTTAGGAGGGCTTTCAAATCGAGAAGTAATCCTGGAAGGCTTATAAGCACTTTAAAGAAACGTAATATTCTTATCTTCAATCGAATTTGAATCATATTCAAAGTAGATTTCATTGCACTGAGACAGACTATACAGAAAGTGATATCTAGTTTATATTAACTGCTATCACAGTTTTCTTGCATGGCAGGTGCTAGGAAAACATCAAAATAATAATGGTAATAGAAAAAATAAATCGAAAATCGGTTAAGTTTATCAGTCGATAACCTGGAAGGAGATACCTTCGAGTGCTAACTAACTGAATATCTTTTATATACATATTACTAAACCGTTTATTTGACATAACTTATACTATGTGATCAGGCCAGTATGCGATTTATTTTTTGCACCTTTGTTGTACTTCGACTGCACGACTGATAACTTTCAAACATATTAACAAAGGCATTCCATGGTGCCCCCCTAATGGAATAAAAAAAGCTAACCTATAAGTTAACGTTCTAAGAGTTTATTGGTTATTGAAATTTGAAGCCTGGTACAAGTTATATTACAAGTTAAGCCGGTCTTGTTTTATTGTACACTTTACTGCACATAAAGCACATATTTGATATTGTTTAAGTTCACACGGTACAGCGCTCTTGGGCAATTATCAGACGAAGAAATCGATATAGGAATCAAAAGTAAAAAGTGAAATATATAAACATTTATCCCACACCATAGAAAATACAGCCAATCGATTTTATGCTTTCAGGATGCTGTCTCTGATTTACATGCGCTCACATGGGGTCCCACAGCGGTCCATTTTGGGTCCTTTGCTGTTTACTATCTATGTGACTGATTCCACAAAGGGGTGTTTCAGTTTTATAGCAATGAACGTACATGTACAGAAGATGACTCGCTTCACTAGATCTCACAAAAGAGTTGGGAGGGTCCATGCAAGCCACGGAAACACCCCTGGATCCGACACTGCAACCGAACTGCACGAAAGCCGCTTTGTTCTACCTTTTCGACGTCACCTCTTTTCCTCCATCAGGCATTGCGGTGTTACCACCTTTAATATATTGTGTATTTTCAATAAATTCTTGTGGCGTACTATAGGAAATCCACTTCTCACTTGTAGTTTATTTAGTCAAATAAACACTCAAAACCATTAAAAATTCCTCTTCAGCCCGACCCCCAATCTCCCCGCACGCGCGCCTCTAAATCCCGCTGACCCTTGAACCGTGGACTCTAAGTGTTTGTACGATGGCGGCTTTTACGAAGTTGTAGGTAAAGAGCGATGGAATTTGTCTTTTTTTGAGCTTGAAAAAAGAGTTTATCCGGTAAGTTACTAATGAATTATGCCTATGTTTGAAACCTTTTTTCAATATTTTCGGAATTTTAAGGGAAATACGATGTTTTGTTCTTGTAACTTATGGTTTATTTTGACAACCACTCATATCACATGAACTTCACACAAGAAGGTTAGATTTCTCTTAATTTGATTCGTTTGACTTTGAAGAGAGGTTTTGAAGCTCAGTGTTTAATTTTTGCCAATTGGGGCGTTTGTGTACGGAAAGCATTGTGAATTTTGCAGTTAATGAATATTTTGGAAGAGTTCAATCAGCTGTTTTGACAGCCATTGTCTGGGTGTTGTTAATTATTCTCGTCATTAAAAAATCTTAATTGGTATTAAAATTTCCTCTTCATGTAAATTATTCAATGATAAATGAAATTATAGCTATTGAATTCCTTATGTGCTCGTTAATAATGTTACTTGGCAACACACTACAATTGTTGTGTTATTAAGTTGCCCATATGACTTGACTGATTTAGAAGAACCTTAAACGCAGTGTAAAAATGTTTGTAACGATATTTCTGTTTTGGACAACAGTTCTTTGTCCGAGTAAAAGAGGGAGGCAGTGGATCCAGAAATTACATTACAAAGGTTTTACTACCAGGAATGTGAGGAAAAGGTGCTTCCCCACCCCTGAATTCGCCCCTGGAGTGAAGATTTAGGCTGAAATAGGAGGATGACGTTAACTCTATTATCAGGTCCACTAAAATTGCTACTGCAAATACTGCACTCTTGCCAGTGCTGTGCAGTTCAACTTGGGGTTGCTGATTTGATTCTTGACTGGATCACTGCGAGTTGACTTAGTAACAAGGGAGTTAAGAGTAATATATCATAAATATTGAATGTATGGTAGTGAATGTTTGTTAATGTCAATAAGCAAAATTGAAAACAGGTATTCATACTGAATTTGCTCACACACTATGTTTATTAATTTAGCATAATATTAATATTTAAAAAGCCTTCGCCAACACAAGTGAAGCAATGCATCAAGATTATGAAAATGCATTTTTCAGTCCTATTTCACACAAAAAATGCTTGATTCATAATCCTAATATGCAGAAATCCCCATCTCCTATGATTGGTGTCTATTGGTGTCTATTCTGTGATCTATTTAATTTATCTACATTAATTTTTAAATCCTACCCCTATCCCTTATTTCACAATATTTAGCAATTATTCCCCAAAGGCAAGTGAATATCGGGGAATATTTACTGAGACGCAAGTCTTCAAGCGGCGAGGTAAATTATCCCAGATATTCTCTGAGCCTGAGGCCAAGAGGCGATCCAGGGGGGCAAAGGGGGCTAAAGCCCCCCTTCAGCAGAAAAAAAAGCAAAACAAAACTGAAGAATTAGATCCTTTTTTTTATTTTTTTCCATCGTGTTTACAGAAGAAACTCAATTAGCCCCCCCCCCCCCCCCACAAAAACATTTTTAGCTGGATCTGTCCTTGGAGGCAAATAATTGTTTTAGTATTTTTGACATAAGTGAATTTAATGAATAATAGAAAGATAGTTTTTTTGTAATTTCAAACTTCATTTATCTCTGCAAGTGGCACAAATCCACAGACGAGTGTGCACGAGTAATATTCACCTGTTGGTGTGAATATAGAAGCATAAGACATAAATTGTGACCAATGAGTGCACTGGATTTATTATTATTCACTTGCGTAAAAATACTTATAATACAGATTAACAATTATAATACAGATCGATGAACAAATAGAAAATGAGTGTGCACTCTGTGTGCAGCTATAAAGCATGCAAGGGTTGGAAAAAAGGAAAAGAGTGTTAGAAAAGGTTTGACACATACTATAGCTTTTATCATCATTATATGATACCCATACAGCTGTTATCTAAAAGTGGTTGTTCTCTTGATGGCAACTGCCTTCATACCAGTTTTATATGACATCTTTCTGATGCTATCATCATCACTGTATGACACCCATACAGCTGGTATCTAAAAGTGGTTGTTCTCTTGATGGCAACTGTCTTCATACCAGTTTCATGTGACATCTTTCTGATGCTATCATCATCACAGTATGACACCCATACAGCTATTATCTAAACGTGGTTGTCCTCTTGATGGCAACTGTCTTCATACCAGTTTCATGTGACATCTTTCTGATGCTATCATCATCACTGTGTGACACTGCATACAGCTGTTATCTAAAAGTGGTTGTTCTCTTGATGGCAACTGTCTTCATACCAGTTTCATGTGACATCTTTCTGATGCTATCATCATTACTGTAGGACACCCATACAGCTGTTATCTAAAATTGGTTGTTCTCTTGATGGCAACTTTCTTCATACCATTATAATTATCGACCCACATAAGGTGGCATGAGGCGAAGCTCTATTACCGGTCCAGAGGTATTCTATAATCGTAATAGTTTCGATGGATGTCTTGTTGTCTAGAGGATCGTCTAAGAAAGGATTTATCCAATGCTTTTCTAAAATCCTTTTTTTTCAATACATAAGCTATTGGATTGATAAAGGAGTTTAATGTCTGTAGTAAAAACAAGGAACATGAAATATTTGGAAATCTAGATGCAACATTATAGGAGTATAGAAGTGGGCATTATACTGGTAGGTTATTGCATGTAATATGATAAATGGCGTCCATGTTATCACGGACAGGATAGTCACTATGAATAACCTTGTCGTTAAATCACGTTCACGCTTCTGGACCAGTGTTCTTACCAGGAATTTCTTTTAGGGGGTCAAAGGGCCCACCAATCCGAAATTTAGGGGCCATTTAGAAAACTGGATGGGCCAAAATCTTAAAACGAATAATAATGTTTTTAGCCAGTAACTCTGTTGCAAATCTACAACAATGTAAGACAGTTTTATTAGTAATGACAACACAATAAAATTTCGCTCGGCAGCCATACTTGGGCCATCAATAAACAAGGGCAGTTAACACAGACTAATCCCAGACATCTTGGCGATGGCGGCTATGTTTGATTCATGGCGTTTCATGTGGACTTTCACCTTGTTTATCGACAATAATATAATGCGACTTTTATTATTTCAAAAGTACTCTAAATCTTTTAAAACTATCAGGAAGTATTCTTTGGATAATTCATGCGCCCTTGGGGGCACATAGATTTGACATTTGTGCGCCATTTCTGATTTTTATGCGTGAATCCCGCAATGGCGCGGCCTGGTAAGAACGCTATGAGTCAGTGGACCATATGTAAAGCTGCAGGTCCTTGATGTTTACTAAGGTTGTTTTTGGCTTTCACTTTGAGAAAAATGAATAAGTAGGATAGGAATATTGTGATGATGGATGTACATGTAATGATCGAATCCAAAATATGTACGTAAAAATGCTGGAATTCATTTTCGATCAGATTAAAAAGCAACAATACAAGGGCTACCAAGGCCCATGTTTTGAATAAGACGATAGCTTATACTTTTGGCTCCTAAGCGTCTATGTCTGAATGGAAAGAACAGTAAGTACAGAAGCAGCCAATGAAAATTTAACTGCCCTGCTATATTAAAGAAGACCATCCAATGAGTTTTCCACTCAATCGGGAGATCTTCACATAAGAGTTACAACCAATCAGGGACTGAAAAACCGCCGTACTTCATATCAGCCACTGCTATGCGGTTGATTAGGCAGTATGCCCTACGACGACAAAGATGTTTGTCAAGGATGAATGTGATAATGGTGATTAGATTCAAAAGCACTGCCATAAACCCAATGTGGAGAATGCTGTCAGCCATACAATGATCACAGAGTGCTCTGGGTGTACCATTACATCGCCTTCAATTCGTTTAATGAACTCGGTGTGGGGGGAGTACCTCTTTCGAACAATTCTTTCATTCAATAATTTTCGCGGATCAACTGTCTCTTACATCAAACAAACCCCAACAAAAATGATATGCTAAATTTCTTTATTACGTCAAGCAATCTCTACATGCACATATTATTACTGTAGCGAATACCTTACAATATATCCCAAGCTGAAAATCCATCCTGAATTTCCAAAAGAAAAAAAATCCTTTCATTGTTAGAATAGGGTTTTCTGTTTTATGCTGACTACCATTTCTCGAATGATTTCTGCCTTTTTGCTTTTGTTTTTTGTTTTTGTTTTTGTATTATAACTGTAAGCCAAAATAATTTTCAAAGTAGTTTACCGGTGTATTTGTTGCTATTCTAAAATAAGCCTTTTGTCATATCCACTATTTTAATTTGTTTTTCTTTTCTTTTACAGGTTAACGTAAGCCAAGCAAATCGCAATAAGAGAAACAATCAAACCAGGACCACTGAATGGACTCGAGTTTTTCACCAGCTGAATGGGAGTTTCTCGTTTTAGCCTCTTCAATGGCAATACTTTCTTATGGTTGCAGTTTACACACGTGGGACAGATGCTGCAGATGCTGATGTCTTTGAGTTTATCTGCCATGTATAGTACTTGGGCACGGTTTTCTGGAATTGAAAAATCTCCATTAGTTTTAATCCACTTATAATCAAGAGCAAAAACAGGAGATATGGCTGAGTGATAATAGTGAAAGGAGAACAGTGCACATGATGGTGATGACTTGGATAAGATCAGGTCAGTAGTTATGATAGCAGTAATGGAAAACATTTCGTATGACTGTCAAACTGTACGCGCACCGTCACGGCACAGTATTGGCGACATCCGTTAAACATATCACAGGCCACGAAGTCACGATATGGTCACAGCACACAGAACAACATGCCTGTACTGGGGGCTTTTTTCATTCATACAAAATTTGCGCAAATAATGATGACAGAATAGACACTGATGAGGTTGTGACCGTCCATGAGTATATGACCTAACAGAATATCTACGAGTGGAGCAAGTTTGTTTTGCTCGTTACTTACCAGGGTTGTAATAGTCGTATACCACTGCTGGGACGGGCTGGCCTTTACCTACAGCATGTGTTCGCTCAAAACCAATTTTGACGCAAGTGGCGTTGCCTTTCTCGAACTGTCGAATAGATTACTTAAACTCAGTTCCATCAAGACTTTTAAACTCATAATAGTACTTATGATAATTACACGACCATTACGCTCAAAGTCGTCTGGATTTTGGCATTACGTCAATCAAGAACTCTCTCTGCGTATTGCAACAATGAAAACTCTTCTTGGCCATATTAAAGTGCGGTAACAAGTTTGAGCAAGCGGTCGCACAACATTGTGACTTTGTAGACAAAGATTTCTTGTATTACACAAATTTTCGTTGCGCAAAGAAAAGTATCTACTCTGCTTAATAATGAAAATCGTTGCACGGAGGATGGGAATTCAAGAAAAGAAATCGCATTTGCGCGTAAAGATTGAGCGACTGATTGCTCAACTGTGTTGACCATACCTTTGCACCTATATCGGCATTTAACTAACCAYAGAATATTCGTAATAGTTGTAAAAATGGTGCAAAAAGTCTTACTCCAATGAGGTACAGGTACCACGTTCAAAGGCATTAGGGACATGGTCATAAAGTAAGGGGGGGGGGGTTAAACTGGATTTGAAGGAGCTCTTTTTTGCTGGCCCAGTATAAAACGAGGTCGAAAAAAGGATGTCTCGCCCCCTCTCCCACCCTACAGTTTCCATCCAAGAAATGAAAAATGACCCACCCCAAATTTACAATTTTATAAACATCCCGCTCTTTTAAGAAGTTCAAAATTTACTTTATGGTCAGTCCCTTAATGTTTATTGAATACCGTTTTTATTACACCGTGTTCATTTTGATTATATCACCTAATATTTTATGATGCAAAGATGAGAGGTCGGAAATTAATTTTTCCGAATTTAATTCCAAGGGCTTTCGCCCGGAATAACCTCGTTCCCAAGCACTACAACTTACCTATATTATCTTCTACTATTTTATGACTAATCTAATCTTTCATTTTTTTCTCTCGTTCTAATTCGCCTTTTTCTTCACAGGAAGTATTTTTGTTTCTCATACTGATGAAAAGAAGAGGCTCCTCAGAATTTTGCCATCAAAAGGGGGATCATTTATGTAAGTTAAATTATATCAAAAACATCTGTACCAACCTTATCAAAGTACAAAATAAGCTTCTTGTCTTCAGACTCAGTTCTCTTGAGGAAAAGTCCCTTGTTACTTAACAGCTGTAACAAAGGAGAAAGAAAAAAGTACTATACTACTAGACTGGAAAATACACGAATACGCATCTTCCACGCTTGTAGCAGACGTTCTTGCTAGGTACCGCAAACCTCAAACCGCATTTAGATGTCAGGCTGCTGCTCATATATTCGCTCTGAATCATTTATGAATCTTTAATTTACCTTCTTCAAAACTTCCTTGTCAGGAGCGAATCCAGACGCGACTCCAATTTCCATGACAGCCATGTTGGAGGTTTCCTCTTTACCTAGATATTGTGCACATGCTTCGATCTCGATGTTGTCGTCTTCTTCTTTAAGCACCTTTGTTTGTGCAGAAAAGAAAGACAAGATAGCTAAAGAGTTGCTAGTTTCCATCGCGGCTTCGCGCGGAAATTAGGAATTGATGATCCGTTTGGAAATCTACTTTACCTAACGTGTTATGTTTTTTAGTCTTGACTTTCAAACATCATCACTTTTTTTGTGAAGTCGGGGAACGTCTGGGTGAGTGTAATCTTGAGAAAGACTGATATTGGCAATGACTGACGTTTTTCAGTCACCACCAAAAACAGCCTTTTCTCAAGACTACACTCACCCGGACGATCACACTTCACAACAAACTTCAACACCTGGGTTCAAACCAATTACTTTTATTATCACTTTTATGAAACCATGACACGATCGCAGGACCAAATCAGAGCATGCGCAACTCACAAATCAAATTGAAATTTTGCTATCATATATCAAACTCACCAGTCTGGTGTAGTAAAATTTAGATTTAAAAGCGTCTAATGAGTGCTAATTCTGGATCCAGACCCAGGTTAACTAGACTTTGGGCAAAAATACCTTAACAATGAAGTCAAAGTTGCTGTTGACTGGTTCCTTAGTGACGTGGTACCTTACTCCAATCTGTAGCATCCCAAAACCATGGCCATTAGCCGTGACTTTGATGTTTCCGGTGACCTTTGGAATCTGTTGATATACACACAACACCACAAAGTATTGGCTTGATAACCCAAAAATACATACTAAACTATATAGTAATCGATGGTAGAATCAGGGGCATAAGTCATGGGCGGATTTACGGGTGGGCCAAAGGGACTTCACCTCTCTTAATTTGGTTGGTGATAGAGGTTTCTCTAATGCCAAAGTTTTTCMCYCCCCCCCCCCCCCCATTTCTCTGATTCCTGGATCCGCTACTACAAGTTTATCATGTTGATGCATTTACTTCTTACCCTCGCATTGACGATTTCACGTGCATAACTCATTTCTCCCCTCCCTCTTCACCCCTCTTTACCCACACGAAAAATGTTTTGTACCTTTTCGTACATTGCTCCAAAACAAGGAGTTAGGGAGTGACCATTAGATAATTGAGGAGGGGTTTGAATAAATCCTAAAAAAATATCAAGCAAGCACTTCGCCTGCAAAAAAAATATCGCGCAACCTCTCCTTTAAGTTAAAGAAATATTGAGCAAACACACACACACACAAAAAAAAAAAAGAAAAAAGAATTCGTGAAGGGGTTGTTACACAAAAAGAAATATGGTGTAACTTAACTTCCTGCAACCCTCCCCCTCAATTATCTAATAGTCCATCCCTTAGAGCAGCAGTTTAGAACAATCTCCATGAGAGCAAATAAGAATAAGAATGAGCTCTTGTTACCGACTTACCACAACTTGCTGCAGTACCATCTCGTTGTTATTATCAACATTGAATGTCTTGCTAAACGTTTTATCCCCAGAATGAGTCAGTTCGACCTTGAAACTCTTTGATGGGGAATAGATGAAAGACGCAAAGTCTGACATGGCTTGGATACCAAGAACAGTGTCCTGGAAATAACGCACAAATACAAGTAAGCTATGAGATCAAAAATTATCTATGTGAACTAAGCATTGTTTGTCTTTGCGGATTTTGGTTCGCGCTCAAATCTCTAGTCAAAGACAATTCCTAAGAATAAAACAAACTTGGGTATATTTAGAGAAAAGTATTAATTGTGCGAGTCCATAATCATTTTTGCTTTAGATGCCAAAAAAAAAAAAAAAAAAATTCAAGATAGTCACACGCATGCGTCGTAGTTAACGGACCGTGCTGCCGTATTTTGGTTGGACGAAGTTTAGTTTCGCGCGCGCTGGTATTGGTTCGACAGATATCTTAATTTCCGTTCTGTAATCGTGCAATTTTGCGTGACATTTTGTAGTCACGCAATTCCTTTCTCGCAAGGTTTCAATCAAGCTAAAATTCTATAAATACCTGAGTAGAAGAGTATCCACCCAGTGCGTTTCTCTGCTGTGAGAGCCATCGCACCACAGGGAGCCCATTTACAAGATCTTTATCGAGGCTGAGCGCCAATAGAGTATATGCAGTGATCTCAACATCTGCTGAGCGTGGTCTATAGTAAGGAATGAATGGAGTGGCTCTGCCAGGATCTGGTTTTTCATTTGACCAATACATTGTTCCGGCTGAAAATACGAGAAAAACAATTTACATTGACGGTTTCTGATCGAGTTCTCATTTTATTGTAACTTCAAATATGACGATTTATTCCTTTGAACCATGCGAAGCCGTTCGAGCAGACTGTTTAAAGACAGTTGCTTACTGGAATAGTAAGTGTAATCTTGCATTGCGTGGCTGGTCTTTGAGAATTATGCGTTAAAAAATGCCTTTCTTTTCCTGTCTCTAAAGTACTAGCTTAGAATGTTAACTGAAAGATCGCGCCCAATACTTAATATTGATTAGATATCAGAAGTATTGCGATGTTATTAAATTCGGATATTAATTGTTAGAAGCTATGGTCTTTCTTATAAAGTCGGTATTTTAATGCAATTCCAGTTTTTCCTTTAGTGTTAGTAGTTTAAGGTTAGGACTGATTTTGGATGAAATATTGCGCGCATTGTCGCACCATGTTTCCTAATGTGCTATTCCCTACTTATAACTGTAAGATAAAATCCCATGAATTTACTGTTGATAATGGCTGGAAAACTCATTACAAAGAATGATGTGATAAAGCGCAAAGCTTCCTAATTTGATATCTTACCATTCCCATATTTTCATAGTAGTGTGTCCGTTAAAGCTTTGCCTTCAGAACTCCTTTATTTTTTTGTTTACTTTACGGTTATTACCTTTTCTAATTCGCATGGAAAGTAAGGCCGCACGAGCTTTCCAACTCATCCCACTTTCCACCAGTCTAAGAGCATAGGCTGTTATAGCCAATGAATACACGTCTTTGCTTTGGATGATTTTGTCCAAGTTACTTTCAAGGTAGCGCACGGCTTTTTCTTTAGCAACATTAATGACCTAAAAGCAATAGAATCAAAAAATATTTTTAACCGGTGAAAAAGTTTTACGTTTATTGGTTCCGTTCACACGCGGACTGAGCTATACGTACAAAAATTCGTACGCCTAGCCGTGCAAATTTAGATACGGCTCCGTGTATTACACGTATTTTTCATACAATTGAAGAGACGGTTCCGTGTAAAAGGTACGTACAGGTCAAATCTTTGACCGGTCAAGAATTCGCTCGGTACCATCGTGTAAATGCAGCCTTACCATTCTTTTCACTGCTACGCGCTGATCACGACAACAGTCGCAACAGGGAAGTAGGGCAATACACTGCCGCCAATCAGAGAATATAAAGGTACTAACCAATTTATTTGATTGACGGAAGTGTATTGCCTAATTTCATTGTCGCGACTGTTGTTTGATAAGCGCGTTGCAATGAAAAGAGTGATAGCTGTTAGCCTCATGATCTGAGAAGAGTATTCGTCCATGAATTGACGCGAAATATATTAAAGATGGCATAAAAACACTGACTTATCTAAGAACGAAATGCTGTGTTTAAGGATATAAGACTGAGATTTGGGCTATCCTACCTTCGTATCATTTCCAGCTTCAGCCAAAGCAATCGTCACAAAGGCAGTCAAGGAAACGTTCCCCTTCAAACCACCCTGAATAAGGAATTGCGCATACAAATCATCAATGTTCTCTGGCATGTTTAGAAAATAAGAGGTGCGCATATGACAGTAGATACTTAATGAGACCATTCTTTGTTGCCGCATTAAAAGATACTACATTGTGAGTAGAATATCATGGTTAAGATAGTCACGCAAGCTACACCGTCAAGGTACCGAATTGACGGCCCCAGTTATATAAATCACAGCGCGCGAGATTTCTGCTTATCCAATCAGGATGCTATGATGCGGCATCAGGACGGTCACGCAACGACACATCCTTGCCGGGTTGTCATCAAATTCTTGCATATGGCAGAATGCATATGATTTCGATTGAGCAAAATATTTACGTGAGCAAAACGCAATGCAGTGCTGTATTTCCTGTAAGTACCTGTAGAGATCCGCCATGCAAGACAGGGCCAACTGTAGGGAAAGATCCATCCTTATTTTGCTTACGAGCGATCCATCCTAAACTTTGACTGAGAGACCTAGGATCGATGTAGATATATTCCCTAGCCTGTGCGAAAGACTTGACAACGAAGGCAGTCAACCTAGAGGAGAAATACATAGATAAACGCCAATACTATTTGCTAAGGTTTTGCGCAAGTAAAAATGGAAGGTTTACACATAGTGGGGATCCCCCTCTATTAACTATGGTTTCCATTCGTTTGCAGCGGCATACGCCGTGTTATACCGATTTTCCTYGCGACAAACTAGATTGTGGTGGGTATCAATCAAGGGGCTTACATGAAACTATAAGCACTTGTCTTTTAAAAGTTTGTTTCCCTTTTTGTTATGGAAGTGCCTTAATTATTGGCGTCCATAAGGGGACACTTTACATCTATTTGACAAAGTCAAACATTGAGGTGGATAGTGATAAATAAGAAAGGAATTGCCATATTTTTGACACATAACTGATGTTTATTACTTACCACATGCTTCCCTCAGGATCAATTCTCCCAAAGGCGCTGTATGAGCCATCAGAGTGTCGATAAGACTGCTGTCTCTGATACCCTAAACAAGAGAAAAACAATATAACATGTAAGCTGGCACCTTTAAGCATTTTTTTGGATCTATGATTTTGGTCAAAGCATGGTGCTGTAGGCCCGGGGGTGGTCATCATGAGTTAAGTTTAGAGTAATGGATTACAATTTAGTGTAACTTTGAGTGCTGTTCAGCTAACTGAAATTTAACAAATAAAACAGCTTTTTCCGTGCTCCGTTCAATAATAAAGCACGCAGGAAAGGACATAAGCACAAAGAAGTGTAAGGAGAAGCACGAGCCGTAGGCGTTTTATTATATAGCCACTTATTCTATTTCGGTATTGAGTTTATTTACGCTAAAAAGAAAAAGGGTCGCAGGATCTAGCTGCACTTCGCACGCACGGATGGCGGCAGCACTGTGCTCCGTTCACTAATAAAGCACAGTTTTCGACCAGTCAAATATATAGAACTGGAAAGTGTAAATATTCGAGCACACAAAACAAAATATTCTTCTTTGTGTTACTCTTATATGATTATAAAGAAAAGAACTATACTGATTCTTCCCTACCCTTTAGTAATACAGTGGATCAATCAATTGAAGAAAATCCAACCACTTTTAGGTCCCTAACTCAATGTTTTCAGCATTGATTCTGAGTGAAGAGTCGAACGGCACAATTTTTATATATGATATGAGTGATGCATCTTGGAGAAATCAAGGTTTATGTCTACTGTACCTTGTTCCATGAATATCTCCGCCTTGTTTTTGATTTCCTTGGTGACTTTATTCACTATAGTCAGGTACTTTAGGATGAAGATATTCGGGGCAAATCTCAACATGTTCTGCTCACCACAGCCATAGGGCATGCGCAGTAGATCTCCAAGATTGTTGAAAGATGATCCCAATATGTCACCTATCATTAGTTGATATGCCAATTAATTTAATCTAGTCATTCGCGCCATTATTTTCCCTTTTTTTAACTGCAAAATTTGACTGCCCTCCCCCTCCTCTACTCACCCCTTCCCCACTCACCCTTCCCCTACTTACCCCTCCCCCTTCCCTACTCACCCCTCCCCTACTCACCCATCCAAACACAAGCCTACATCTCGGCGAAAAATTTTCTAACTCTACCTGATTTCCATGTTCAATATAATTGCAGTTCGTTTCACCAAACATACCCTATAACCGGATGCCCATTCAGTTTCATACCCCCTTCGTCCCATTACACGAAGGCTTCAAAACATTTTCAAAATAGGTTAGGGGGTATTTTCATCAATAGTTCATTTAAGATCTGTTGGGTGGGGCAGAAGAGGGGGATGGAAATTAGGTTTTAAAACTGGTTTACTTATTTATTAAATTTATTTATCCCAATGTTTAGCAATACTAACCAAGGCGAACCACGCCTGGAGTTTTGTGTGCCCATACAGTTTGGATTCAATCCACCTGCCCTCTCCCACCCCCCCNCTCCCCCCTCCCTCCCAATTCCAATTAAGAATTTCGGGATCTATCATTTGTTTTACTCACCGATGAGCGATGCCTTCACGTAGGACGATCCTGGTACAGTAGTGTTTGGCAATGCCACCTCTAGAGTCTTTGTGAAAGAGGATGCTAAAGTATTCAGAGTAGATTAATATTAACAACGATTAATACAGGAGAGCATGGGAGATTATAGGCGGGATTATAGGTCTGACTATCGCGGAACTGGGTTTGATTCCTAGACACGATTAGAGTTTGTTGCTTTATGAAGTGAGTAGAAAAAAGTAACAGCATCTGTAAATTGTAGTCAAAAAAGTAAGAATTATAAATAGTTTCCTCCGGTAGAAGAATGTAAGGGTTACAAGTTTCTTCTAAAATTCGAATAGCGCATGTCCTTGAAGCTTTCACTTACTTGTATTCAAGTCAATCAACAGGCTGTAAGAGTATTCTTGTGGTATACCTTCAGGCTGTAGCAACAAATCAGAGTATCGCTGTTTTAGCTAAGAGTAACACACATGCATCGTAAATGATAGCGCTGTTGAGCTTCACGTCTTTCATCCCTAAATGGTCATTTTATATATGATATAAAGTTTTTGAAACTCAAGAAAAGGCCTCAAATACAAACATTACATCTAGGTTTGGTCGGAATTTGCGTATTTTCATCTGATTCATTTGGCAATCGCCATTCGGCCGATTTGCATTTTCCTTTTATCCCATACAAAATCATGGTCAACAGTTTTACACAGCTTCATTCCTATTGGATTGCATACCATAATTCCGTGAAAAAGTTAACTAAAACAATTGTACAAATTAGTGCAAAGTCTTGTACGTCTACGGTCTACTGAAGGTCTACTGAACTTACTAATTTGTGCAACTGAATTACTTACAAAGTTTTTCACAGACATATGGTGTGCACTTTAAGCAATGCTGACAGTTGTTAGCCAACATTCCAAACATCTAAACTAGGATTCAGACAGAAGCCACTAAGACTTCTGATGGAATTATCTTAGTTGCGCAATCACGCTAATCAGTGTTTGACAACATTGCACTCAACTGCAATTTGATAGTTTAATAGTAACAAGCGGATAAGTCACAGTACCGACGTAATTTTGGTGTTTTGTTGTTGTTGTTGCTGTTGTTGTTGTTAAATATTTGAACTTCACGGGCAAAAGAGCAAGTCAAGAGTCTCAGTAATTAACTTAACTCAACGAAATGCCTGGCGATTCTGCATAAATACTACTTAGCAATTAGTCCTTTTGAGCCCGAATGGACTATGAGTCAAAAGCCTTTGAAGCCGAAATTGTTTTAGTTAAATCCAACTAGTCGGTCAAATATATAGATGCAAACAAGTCTTAAAGTCTTTTCGTTTCTAGTAGGCTATAACATATAGCTTAGTAGTAGCTCATCCAATCAGAATGCAGCATTGATAATGATAGACCACTGCAATTTTCGCGGTTACTAGTAGGCTATAACTTATAGCTTAGTAGTAACTCATCCAATCAGAACTCAACATTGATGATAGACNAATCAGAACTCAACATTGATGATAGACCACTGCAATTTTCGCGGTTACTAGTAGGCTATAACTTATAGCCTAGTAGTAGCTCATCCAATCAGAACGCAGCATTGGTGATAGACCACTAGCTGGATTTGACTAATGCATTGTATTGTGTGTTCAAGTCAATAACTTTCAACCCATATTCTCTGATATCTTTAATTCACAGTCTTACCTCCACCAAAAGGTTCCTCTTCACTGCATCAGCTGCAGCATAGGATTGAGCTTGCACCTCCAGAGGGACATTTCCCAGTGTCTTGGGGATGATAGGGAAGGCGATGGCTTTACCCTCACCAGCAGGTACGGTTATTACTTCTCTTATGTCTACTGAGTCTTGTTCATAGTTTTCTTTACCTCCACTAGCATTGATGGCTTTCCAGTCTTTGGACCCTTTGAATGTAACTGTTACCTAAAATTTAGGAAGAATCTTCAGTAAACGTGTTATCATTGCTTTCATTGCTCAAGCTGATTGCGAACAGTCTCCACAGGTTAATCGGTGTTAACCATTCCGAGGTCGAGGAAAAAACTGGGACGAGTTGGCATTTAAGTGAATTTTAGGGCGATTGTAGGGGAATAGATGCCATCTTGGAAATATGTCCCCTAAGACTGTCCCACAATACACTGCAATGCCAACTCGACCCAGTTTTTTCCTCGACCTCGTAATGCCTTATAGGCTAACGTCAATCAAAGATACATAAAGTCGAAAAATGCAAAGCCAATCTGGACAAAGAAACTTTGGTAACCCTCCGCCTAAGTAAGGCCCTGTTCTAAAGTTGATTTCATACTTTGGTCGGTCATGATTAAAGCAGAAAGACCGTAGACATAGAGAACCTTTGTATACTAGCTCCTACTAGCTTACAATACTGCCAACAAAAGTAAGAGGTTTAAAGTAAAAGAAAACAAGCAGGAAAATGCACTCCAGCTCACAGGTATACATGTGGTATTTTCCCTTACCTCCTGTGGCTGTTCTAAATAGTTGAAAATCAACGCTTTGATTGCGATTTCTTCTCCACGCACAACAGAATACGGCAAGTCCAATGAGATAAAGAATGGCTGGAAAACTTTGAGCTGAAAAACAAAACAAATAGAAACGACATTAGATTAGGATACTTAAACAAATACTCTTACCCTTCTGTTGGTCATGTTCCTTTACCCCCCCCCCCCCGTCTCTATAACCCCAGCCCTGTTAATTTAAACCTTATAGCAGTAAAACCAGGGGGGTGAGCATAGGAAGGCAGGAAACACAGCGTAACTGTTGTACAGACCTTTGCACTTATCAACATAATTTCATAGGGATGTCACATATTAGCCATTCCGAAGTAGGGGAAGAAATAGACGCCACATTGAAAATGTTAATACCATGAAACCATCTGACAATTCAGCGCAATGTCGACTTGACCAAGTTTTTTTGTCAACTCGGAGTGACTAGTAGTAAGGTTACGCGCAACTGTCACTGACTCAAACAAACAAGACCTCTTTTTTCCTCCTCCTTCGTCTCCGCTAATAGAGGCTTTACACCATCACGTGATGGCAGCCATGACAGCAGGCACAAAAATTGAATCTGGTCTCATCTGATTTACATGAGAAAGAATTCAGTCTCCCAGTGGAAAAAGACTCTATTGTTGTGCCTTCTGTCATGGCTGCCATCATGTGATGGTGCAAAGCCTCTCTATGTGGTTTTATTTATTACCTTTGGTTTTAACGCCCCAATACCGAATCCAGTCTTTGGAGAGATAGCAAAAGCACTAGCCACCCATGACGTGATGGTATCAGGTACCGTGGTAGATATCTGAGCCTCACCACTTGAACTAGCATCCAAAAAAAGAGAATATTTAGTAGGAAGATATCGTGCAAAGGCCCCTTGCAGCCAGTCGGCATGCACCTCAATTTGCAGGACATAATAATAGGTTTCCAATTTTCAGGAAATTGAAATTCTTTTGTTTTTCCTCCAAATTGAACTACTTTAACGTCACATGCAAGGGCTCTATTTGGAGGACAGAAAAATAGGTTTCCAATTCTCAGGAGATTGAAATTGTTTTGCTTTTTCCTCCGAAGTTAACTCCTTTGACGTCCTTTGACGTCTAATGCAAGGGGTCTTTTTGGAGAACATAACAATAGGCAAATTCAGAAGCTTTGACGTAACATTTGCAAGGGGTCTATTCTATAATTCTATTTTCTATTGTTTCTGCATTTTTGACAAGCTTCGGGGTTGTTTTTTCTTTTATCATAAAACGAGCTGCTTGAATCCTAATAATCTAATAGTGTAATATTCAATTAACATTATCATAATGACGTCAGTTGTAAGGAATCTATTTATTACTTTAGGGACACTGAAAATTCCTAAAAACCTTCGATAAACGAAATTTTGACTTTAAAAAAATTGAGGATGCTGTTGATGTTATCAAAAAAAGGTTAATATTTCTCTTACAAACCTTGCATTTACGTCGGCCCACAACCAAGTCTCGGGGAAGAACGAACGAATCTTAGTGACAGAGGCAAGTTTTTGATTGCGCCTGCTGGATCCAACAGAAAATTCTCCCTCTTCTACCATTCTAAATGCTCCTCCTCCTCCTCCTCCTCCGAATGAGTTTATACCATGGCCTTTAAAACACGTGGAATAATATTAGCTTGAAGAACCACAAAATTCAGGCTTGGTATGCAACATGCAACAAAACCTTCGCGAACATTTTTTGAAATAGCTATATATGGTGTATGATTAGAACGAAGAGTAATAGAGTTTTTCACGGCTACTAAAAATAGATATTGCAAAGCCTTCTGGGATTTGATATGCGGACGAACTTTACTGGTTTTGAGGTTACTTGGAAGAGAAGATTAATAACAGTCAGAAAAAAATTTCACACTTTTTCCACGAATTGGAAACAACAAGAGTACAAAACATTGTTGCAGCATGTGTGCATGTGCGCTGGTCTTGGCTTGTCTGTATTCCAATCCAATGATACACAATCRTGATGTCATCCATGGAAAATACTATTGACGCATTTATTGCATGCTATTGGGTTCTCTTTATGTAAAAAAAGCATGTTAAAAAGATGTTACTGAATATTTATACTGAGAATTGGATCAGTTTATTTCATTGGTGATCCTCATTCCATCCGTCCAACCATGCTTTCATTTAACAGATCAAAAACAGTTTTCCGTGTTTGATACTCTGATCAAAACACGCGGGATGTTGGGAGAACACTAGAGGAGCGTAGGAAACCACGACGCGTAGCGGAGTGGTTTCCAGCTTCCCGACAGATTAAAAATGACGGTAGCGTGTTTTGATACTCTCATCAAACATGGTTTTCGACCAATCATAGCGCGCGTAGTATCCCAATTATTTTATAATTCCAGATCAGATCATTCTGTCACTCCTTCACTCAGTTAGTTGGTCAGTATAGGTCAGTTGACAGTCGATTGGGTGGTCATTAAGACATTATCACATTAAGACAAGCAGTCACTATAACCTCAATCAATATCGTAATCACCAACTTTAAAAAAAAACTAGCCAATGTTTGCTTACCATAATAAGGATAATAGTGTGAGGCTCGGTGCACCAGACAATCGGTAAAGGTTATAAGACCTGAATTCTATAAAGAAATCAAATAACATATGAAAGACTGTGCCTAAGTCTGAGTAAATGAGTCTGTAATCAAGAAACGCAGCGGTAATTTAGAACTCGAAACTGGACTATTTAATACAGTTCAGTTGTAAAGCTTCTCCATTTAATGAAGGGTGTCTTGAATAGACTGAGGTTTATTTTACGGTATCTATGGGGAAGAAATGAGGGCTGTCCATTTGATGAAGGGTGTCTGCTGAATAGAATTTAATTGTTTTACAGTAAATATGGAAAGAAAATTTAGGGGCTGTGCAACTAGCTGTCCCTGTAATAACAGAGGTTTGTCTTACAGTAAATAGGGAAGAAAGTTATGGATCATACAACTAGTTTGCCTTGAATTAAGGGATATCCGCTGAACAGAGGTTTGCTTTACAGTAAATAGGGAAGAAAGTTATGGATTGTGCAACTAGCTGTCTGTGTAATAAGGGGTATCTGCTGAACAGATGTTTGTTTACAGTAAACTATGGAAAGAAAATTAACCATGCAACTAGCTGTCCAGGCCTGCTTAATAAAGGTATTACTGTATCCCATTAAACACCTGCAGGTGAACTTGGACTCGTATGTTTGATACTTTACCCGAAATATTGTATAAGCATCGCGACCATTAACGTGGAAGGCTGCACCTGTGGTACCTCGTGGATGCCAATCCCAATCCCACCAAGGATACCAACCAGATCCACTGACAAACGACTGTAGATCATTCAATATCTGAATGACAAATATAGCATTGACGGTTAAAGTGGTGACGCAGGGTTGGGCGAATGATGTGAAGACTGGTTTTGTGACAGCCTTATGTGCCTCTTGGGGGTGAGGATGATGATGATGATGAAGGTGATGATGATGATGACGGTGATGATGATGATGATGGTGATGATGATGATGATACTAAACGGAAACTGTTCACATACGGCAACTATGTTGGCTATTTGTGAAGACGTCACGATGATGATTGTACTCATGATAATGATAATAACAAAAACCAAAGTAAAATGAGTGATGAAAAATAAAATCTTAAATTATTCAATCGTATGGAAATGAACTTCCAGGTCCAAAAGGAAAAGATGCCAATAAAGATTTTCTAATGTGTTCTTCATGACAGGATTTTTTGTCCAAAGATTTAATATTCTCAGGCGGAAGTTAAATCACTGAGAACTTTTTTCACCTTATTTTAGCGGCTTTTGTGAGCAGTCAGACTCAGAAATACTTCAGAACTAAAAAGCTCCATAGGTTTGTTGGGGTTGATTATGTTATCAATGGGGACGTTCCCATAGGGCAACCATGTTGGCTATGGCAATAGGGAATAAATTTCAAGATAAAATAGTTCTTTTGTTAATCATAACTCACCTCACTGCGACTAATGTCATTGTCTTTATTCAACAGCAAAACACTTTTGTCTATTGCAAGGAAAGCCACCTGCGAACCTGGTGTGGCTCTAGCCATCAGTTGGACCTTGTCTCCTGGACGTGAAGACTCCTTGTTAAACTCAACGTTGACCTAAATGACATCAAGACAGAGACGATGTCAGGAAATGTGAAAGGTAATTGACATGGGTCATATATTAGATACTGTAAAATCAAAGTTATTTCCCAACCTCTGTTATTTGTCCTCCTGGTTATACGGCCAATGTAGTCAGTCACCCATGACATTTAGTCATTCATCCATCCATCCATCCATCCATCCATCCATCCATCCATCCATCCGTCCGTCCATCCATCCATCCATCCATCCATCCATCCATCCATCC